AATAAGAATGGGTCTGAAACTTTCTGGCAATAAAAACAGGTCTTCGGATTCATATTCTTGGTTCTTTCGGTAAAGTCACGAAGGGAAACAATAAAATAATAAACATATAAAACGATAAAATTCTCACGACGTTTCGACTGCAACACAAGCAATCATCATCAGGTGTGAAAACCACAGCAAGAAAATTTGCTTGTCAGTTTTGATGTAGTTTCCTTAGTCACCAAAGTTCCTGTACCTGACACCATCGCAATCATTGAAGACTTGGCTCAACAAGGACTAAACACTGAGGGAACCCCCCCTGGTGAGACACTGCTTAACCAATACATACTTCACTTGGAATGGAACTTTCTACAAACAAACTGAGGGCACCCCAATAGGCTCCCCCCTATCTCCGGTTGTAGCCAACATTTTCATGGAGAAATTTGAGACTGACGCCATCCAGACTGCCAATCTGAGCCCAACGTTATGGAAGAGGTACGTGGATGACACTTTTGTCATCTGGCCACATGGCCGGCCTGTTCTAGACCAATTCCTCGACCACATCAATTCCATACACCCAGCCATCAGATTTACCATGGAAGTCGACAAAGATGGCAAGCTACCTTTTTTGGATATCCTAATAAAAAAGAGACCTGATGGTTCAATGAGCCACTCTGTCTACAGGAAAGCTACCCATACGGATGCTCACCTGAAACCAGATTCACACCACCATCCATCCCAGAAGAATTCCCTCATCAAGACTCTGCACCATAAAGCCCAATGCATATCCGAGCAGGAACACATAGCCAGTGAACTCAAGCACGTACACCAAGCTCCTAAGGCTAATGGTTACTCCGACTACACAATCCGCAAAGCTATCACTCCAACCATGAAGAAGGACCCTCTTGAGGAGCCATTCAAAACCATCACTTTACCCTACATTGCGGGGATCACAAAAAAGATTACCAAAATCTTGAATAAACACAAGATCCAGGTCCGATTCAACACATTATATAAAATCCGTCATCTGGTTCCGTCTGTAAAAGATGTGATTCCGGACATACAGTACCCTGGCATCTACAAACTAAGTTGCCTCTGTGGTAGTAGTTACATTGGAGAAACCAAACGACATGTCTCGGACCGCATCCGTGAACACAAAGCAGACTTGAAAGACGGTAGGACCAACACCTCGGCCGTGGCAGATCACTGTTATAATTCAGTAGGCTCACATGACACGAGAGCCACAAGAGAAGCGATGAACATTCATTCACCACCACACCACGGCATCACCACCAGCAGCAGCAGCAGCACACAAGGAGAACCGAGAAATGTTGTTGTTCGCTATGCACACGTAAGGCAGCACGCCTAAGCATCAATAATAAATACGAAAATAATACAATAAGAAGGCCGGGAGTAGAGTCAGAGGGGGGGGTGTGTCCAAAAACCACACCCGGTCACCTTCGTCTCCCCAGTGGCGATGCTTGCACACCGCACCGGGTAACACAAAATAAAGGCGAAGATCTCCCTCCCCAACCCCCCAAAATGAGACCTCTTTGCCAGTATCGAAGTATGGAAAAAATAAGAATGGGTTTGAAACTTTCTGGCAATAAAAACAGGTGTTCGGATTCATATTCTTGGTTCTTTCGGTAGAGTCACGTAGAAGGGAAACAATAAAATAATAAAAATATAAAACAATACAATTCTCACGACGTTTCGACTGCAACACAAGCAATCATCATCAGGTGTGAAAACCACAGCAAGAAAATTTCAAATTTCACTGCTGTGGTATTGTTTTATATTTATATTATTTTATTGGTTCCCTTCCACGTGACTTTACCGAAAGAACCAACAATATGAATCCCTGCAGTCACGAAAGCTTTAAATCAAAATGTATGTGTTCGGATGTTCAAACACCAAATAGAATCAAGTCACTGCATTAACCACACACGGTGCTCGTGATGAACACGCAAACAAACACGGCTCTCTACTCATACTCTTTGGTTCTTTCGGTAAAGTCACGTAGGTAGAAAAATAATAGATCACGACGTTTCGATCGCAACACAAGCAATCGTCATCAGGTGGGACACCTACTTCAGCAGTTTTTTTTCCTTGCTGTGGTCGTCCCACCCGATGACGATTGCTTGTGTTGCGATCGAAACGTCGTGATCTATTACAATTGTTTATACTTACGTGACTTTAGCGAAAGAACCAAAGAGTATGGATTCCTGCAGTCACGAAAGCTTAAAATAAAACATGGCTCTGATCATTATTATCAGTATTATTATTATAACACAGGAGGATGCATAGTCTTTGAAACCGATTTGGTCTACACCAGAGAGAGCAGCAGCCTTCTTCAGGATCTCACCAGCAGTGTCAGACCAGTGAACAAAGCCAAAAGGCGAACAGCCACAAAGACAATGCACCCATCAGCGCCTTTCATAGCTCGGAGTGAGCGGCTACGAAATGGGACCTTCTTTGATACTGGCAAGAAAGGTCCCATTTTGGAGCTGCTCACCCCCCCCCCCCCCGCATAGCCTTAACAGACTGGAGCTTGGCACGGCACAAGAGAGGTGGAGAGAGGGCGGAGGAGGAGGGGGGGGGGGCAGCATCACATCCCCCGGCCGCCTTTGTCTCTCGCAACAAACGACGACATAATCACTACTCCACACACACACGCGCACACGCGCACGCGCGCGTGCCAATGTTACAGTCTAAGTCGACGAACTTCCACGTGAAACCCGGAGACTCACGGACCGGGCCGCCTCCGACGACGGCCACGCGCTTGGCAGAGCCGTCCTCCTGCATGACCGCTCGCAAATCCTGGCCGGAGCGGTTGGCGCCCAGGCACTCCGAGACCGACGTCGGCTCTTTATGTAACACCGGCGGCTCAATGTCCGGTCGGATAATGTTTGGGGTGGTTGGGTGGTGGGAATGACGTTGGCGTACATGAGCATGTGAGAAGACAGAGGTGGGTGGGGAGGGATGGGTTTGGGAGGGGGGTGGGGTGCGAGGGGGGGTGGGTGGCAAGATGAGCGACGTTCACAACAACGAGCAGAGAGAGCTGTCGGGCAGGTAAAACGCATACAGTTAGCACAGTGGGGGGGGCCCAGGTGGGTCGCCGTGGTGGTGAAATGTTAACAACTCCGCTGGTATACAGGAGGTCGTGGGTTCGATCCGTGACCCCGACGCGATGTTTATGTATTTGCGTGTCTCTCTCTCTCCGTGGTTGCGTGTATTTTTCTCCGCGTTCTCCAGGTTTTCCCTCCACATTTAGACAACGTGCGTTAAAAGTATTTGGTTGATATACATTTCCACACGGTGAGCCACTTCGTTAAGCTATCATTTGTGGCCAATTCGCTTCTGAAAAACAGCTATATGGCTCAGTGGGCCTTACCTGGTAAAGTTAAAATAGTTTTAGTTGAGTGTATCTGCCAGTCATCTCATTCAACCCATGGCACCTGTGGCTATTAAACTAAACTATGAAACTAGTGGGTTTTTTTTAAACCAGGTAAGGCTCCCTGAGCTATATAGCTCTTTTTTTTAAAGCGACCTGGCCACAAGTGATCACTCAATGAAGTGGTGGCTTGTCATGTGGAAATGTGCAGCAGTCAAATACTTTAAAGGCTTCTTGATTATAACTGTGGAAGGGAAAGCCAGAGGAACCGGAGAAAAAATCCACGCGACCCCGGGGAGAGAGAGACATGCACACTCCAAATAAACAAGCATCGGAGTCGGGATCGAACCCACGACCGCCTGTATACCAGGCAAGAGAGTTAACATCTCGTCTGTCCTGTGACCTGCCAGCGGGCCTTCGACACTTCACGTGGCCTCAAAGTGCACCCAGCATGGCACGAGTGCCGTGCTGGGCATATTGTTTAACGCTCACTTAAGCGGTTTATAGTCTCACACTTAAAAAAGAAAAATTGTTTCACTGAGTCTCATGACTCTTCCTAAGTCCTTGACTTAGGAAAAATAATTCGTTGCTGGGACCCATTCGTAAGTCGAATGGTTCGTAAATCGGAGCACAACAATGTACTGTATTGAAATGCCTATGCAATGAGTGTTATGAAATGTGTTACGGTTTGACAAAAAATGGAAGCATTAATTAAACTCATAACGCAGTTTATGCGAGAGCCGGGGGCTTATGGGACCCCGGGGTCCCGCCATCAGGTTCGGTCGTCTTGCCTTGATGGTTTTCTGGTCGAAAGGGGCGCAAAGAATCAGCACAATTACAAAGGACCCCCGTATAGCCTTAACATACTGTAGGGGCAAGTGCTGTTAGCGAGCACCCGACCGCCTTTGTCTCCCCAGTGGCGATGTTTACACACTGCGCCAGGTACTCATTTGAGGCTGAGTCGACCTAGGGGAGGCCCAGGACCGGTTCAGATAATCGTCACCGGTGTTGGCCGTGAGCGGGAATCGAACCCGGGTCGCCGGGTTCGTAGCGCAGCGCGCTAACCGCTACACTACCGCTCCCCAGCGCAATCACACACACAGACACACACGGGAGCACTCACTCACACAGACAAAGATCCCCCGTATAGCCTTAACAGACTGTAGGGGCAAGTGCTGTTAGCAAGCACCTATAAAGGCCGGCACGGCACACGAGGGGGTGGGTGGCCAACACCACGCCCGGTCGCCTTTATCTCCCTAATGGCGATGCTCATACATCACACCAGGTATTCATTTGAGGCTGAGTCGACCTAGGGGAAGCCCAGGACCGGTTCAGATAATCGTCACTGTGGTGTTGGCCGTGAGCGGGAATCCAACTCGGGTCACCAGGTTAGGGTATCACGGCGCGCATTTTCGGAATAAGAAGAATAATACAAATCTAATAGCTCAGCGGGCTTTAACTGGCAAACGCTAAAATATTTGTTTTGAGTTAAATTTGTTCCCAATCCCAAGGTCGCCTTCGTCCAGTACCCAGCCCGGCCACGCGCGGCGTGCGGGGGAGGCCGAGGCGAGGTGGGAGCCACCCGGCCCCGCCCCGCCTCGCTGGTGTTGGTGCTCGCACCATAGCAACGAGAGACGCTGTTCCGTCACATCATCATCATCACCACCATCACCATCAGCAGCAGTAGCAGCAGGCAGTGGCCACGGCGGTGTCACTAACATCATTCGTGTTATTTATATCATCATCAGCAAGTTGTTGCCACGGTGGGGTTACTGAAGTCATCATCATTAGCAGCAGCAAGTAGTGGCCACCGTGCTGTTACTGAATTCATCATCATCATCAGCAGCAAGTAGTGGCCACCGTGCTGTTACTGAATTCATCATCATCAGCAGCAGCAAGTAGTGGCCACCGTGCTGTTACTGAATTCATCATCATCATCAGCAGCAAGTAGTGGCCACCGTGCTGTTACTGAATTCATCATCATCAGCAGCAGCAGCAGCAAGTAGTGGGCACCGTGCTGTTACTGAAATCACGAGCACTATCATCTTCATCATCATTATCAAATACAATTTCGCTCTTGGGACTCATCTCACCATTCACTCCGCTGAGTGTCGCGCTCCCTTTCTGTCACTCGCACACGGCACGATCGGACGATGTCCAACACGTACAGGACTTCTGAGCGCTCAGAGGCGTCGCAAGCAGCAGCAGCAGCAGCAGGAGGAGGAGGAAGGGCAGGTGCCGGTTCGCGGCGCATTGACGCGAACAGCAATCACGATCTGCTGCTTTCGTCGGGATACAGGTCACCTGGCCAGTCGCGTCCTGCATCTCCTGGACTCAGGCGCAGCGTGTCAGAGGTAAACGAGAGGCGGATGGATCGAGGGTGGAGTGGAGAAAGAACGGAGAGAGAGAGAACGACGTAGATAGAGAAGGGGGGGGGGGGTGTGGGAAGTTATTATTTTTTCAATCGCGTTTTGCTGAGCACAGGGCCCATCGGCCCAAATCGCCAATGGGGTCAGCAACAAACAGCACTATTAATCACAATAAAAACCTTTGTTTATTCTGGAGTAAATCCGATGAGCTGTGAAGCACTCTTTCACAGATGTTCAACAGATGCTTAAAGTTGTAATAGATAAGCACGGTCGGCTACTACGTACGGCGCGAAAGAAGTTCAACAATAACGTTCATTGTATTGAGCAAGGCTAGAACAGTTACGAGCTCGGGAGAGGAGTCACAAAGTGGAGCAGTGTAGAGGGGGGGGGGGGGGTAAGGAGCAGCGAGAGAGGTGGCGTGTGACCTGCAGTGCGCTGGTTGAGACCAAAACAGATGGGAAGGGTTGATACGAGAGGATCGTGGAGATAGATTATGGGGACTGCGTGGATCAGGGAGCGGCTATGACGAGGCAAGGCGCAGCCATGCAATTGCCTGCTCACGTCCCCTGCTGGGGGAAGGTTCCCCGCCACGTATTTGGCCTATTCTTCCGCGCTCGCCAGACATCTCGCAAGAGGTGGGGAGTACCCACACTTTACCCCACCAGACGCGACCTGCAGATCGACTAACTGTGCAGATCGACTACCCATGTATTCTGCCGCGTGGAGGGGATGTCAAGACAATTTGCACCATTGTTTCAGCTGCCACGCCCGAAATGAGAGAAACCGCCTGTTTCACCCACGACGACATCTCCCCATCCGTGGGGGCCACCATTAATTTATTTCATTGCACGCCGTAATTAAGTGCCTGGTCAAGCACGCGTGGTGGGCCGGTCTGGCGCTCTGGAGGCAGGTATTGGTGGATGACTAAGTCGAGATTTGTGAAACTTCTGAACCATGTTGCACGGACTGCGATGTGGCCAAGGATGTGACAGTACTGCGAGTGAGTTTTGTTAACCCGTCTGTTAGAGCCTTCGATTGCCACTCCGTCTTGTGTACGTGCGGTGGGCTTCTCCGGCTACTCTCGTTTCCTTGAGATTTGGCAAGATAATAAAGAAATAACTACATTTGTAAAAATGGGAAATGGCAGTAGAGCAAGTGGGCTAATGCTCTATCTGTTCCGATTTGTGAAAGTATGGGAGTGCAGTACTGTACGTGGATTTGTGATCCAGTTTATAACGTCCCTTGAGTGTTATCCCCTGGATATCAGGAGCTCAGTCCCAGACAGCTCCGGTTGATAATTAAGCCCTGGTTGTGAATTTCCTGAACCACTCGAAGAGAAACTGGCTGAATAATCTATCAAAAGACTTGATTCTTGGGACTAGATGTAGTAGTCGTTTAGTTTACAAGCGGTTTCTTTTTAATTTTCCTGTGAGCGAAGAAGCTCTTAAATCGCGTTTGATGTTTTATTGGAGAAAGGGTGAATGTGTTTGGTAGTGCAGGGGGCCACTTAATGAGGAGCCATTCGGGAGTAGACCCTGACTGGGTCTCAGTCCATCCCTGGCTAATTCGGAATCAGAATATGCATTAATACTTGATGAATCCGATGAGCTATAAAGGTCTTTTTCACAGATGTCCAGTAAGAGCTGGTCAGCACATTACAACAACAAACATACGATAGGAGTGCAAAATATAAGAAAGGTAAGCAAATCACTCAAAGAATATAGAAATTAAACTAAACTATTTTATTGCACCAGGTATAGCCCCCTGAGCTACAGCATTAGTTTCCTTTTCATAAATGATAGCGCAACGAAATGTCGGCTTATCATGTGCAAATTGATAGCAGCCAAATAGTAAAAATAATCGAATTACTCAGGCTATTTGAATTGTCTGCTCAATCAGCAAGTCCTCTTGCTCTGCATGTCACTCAGGGCACTGCACAGGCACAGAGACGTCCAATAAAAATAAGTGATACCCTATTCCCCAAATTATAAGACGCTACGGAAAGTAAGACGCACCCTAAACGTATTCCCCGGTGTCAACAAAAGCTGCAATTTACCGTCTATAAATCGGATCACGGGACAATCACCTACCGGCTTATTAAGACGCATCCCCAAACGTTGCTTTAAAAGGGACTTGCAATCCAGAGGGGTGGCCGGTTTGCTCTGCCGTCGCCAAAGTTGACACAACGTCACAATGACGACTGACGAGACGCTGCTCAGCTGCAGTCGTGACCACATCGCCGGAAATCCGCCAGAAGTCACCGGGAGCTCTAAGCGAAGCGGCCAAGCAGGTGTAGAAGCGTGGATGGGCGACCCCATCAAGCGAGGAGGCTGGGTGTTTACAAGCCCACAGCACTGCGGCACCACGTGTTGTGCAGCAGAGGGCAGTGCGGGATTGTTGTACTGCACTCGATTTTGACGCTTCTCGCAAGCCGAAACCCGCGCTGGTCATATAGACCCACCCCACCCCACGACCCGCCAATGCGTGCGGAGGACCTCATCCAGCAGTGGATTGGCACAAGAGCTGGACACGTAGCGCGGTCACGTGGGTGGCGCGCTCCGCGTGCTGTTGACATTTTATGATAATGGACTGCGAGGTGGTCAGGCGCTTGCAGTGCAGAGATCGATGTAATCCATCTGTGCGGCGCCTTCGAGTGTCATCCTTGCGTACGTGTGGATGCGCTCCCCAGGTATAACGTGTCCAATGCTCATTGCCAATTAGCACGGTTTGGCTCTGTACGGTGCAAAAGAAGTTGAACGTGCGCAGGAAATCACTGACTTTGTCTTTTTCAACACAAGGATGTCTTGAAGAAGTTCATTGTCGTCATTTGGTTTCCTCGGTAATTCATCGGCGTCTACTGCCACCTCCTTGGGTTGCTAGAATTTTTTTTTAGACTTCAACTATAACGCCTTTCAACCGTTGCTTTTCCACCCCGCTGTACGAAGATTTACTCCAATTTATTTTTGATGGTGGCCTCGGACAAGGGGACCGCATTGCAACTCTTCGGGGAAAGCTGGTGGTGTTTTTTGGTATCGTGAGTACACAAAGGCTGAGTGCTCTTTACGTGTTTTGTCAGTTTAACACGGAGGCTTTGGAGACCAATATTCATAATACATTTTCTTTTGGTGAGATCGCGTAAATATGAATGTCGTTAACCCCACCATCACCACCCGACACAGCCAATTGGTAAGGTTCGTCACGTCAATAAAACGTGCCAATTTGTTCCTACTTCAGCACACCGGTGTGTTGGAGAGTATCATAACAACTTAACAATGGAATTGACCGAACGTACCAACGCACGACTATCACATGACAGACAGTAATTATATATTTGACATATAAGTCAGTCACGCGCGCCTGGCTGTGTGCATGTTAACGAGCGGGGCGCCCGGGCGGCTGAAACGCAGCAAGTTGGCACAGTTGGTGCATCTGCCAGTCATCTCAGTCAAACCATGGCACCTTAGGTCTGTCCCGTAACCTGTCAGTGAGCCATCGACACTTCACGTGGCCTCAAAGTGCACAGGCGCTGTGGTGACGTCGCTGCCACTTACTGGTGAATGGCGGCGGCGGTGGCAGCTGCTGTTGTTGTTGTTGATATACCCGCTGATCACGGCTATTCCGCGTGGCTGTGTCACCGCCTGCAGATGCAGGAGCAGCTCAAGATGTACAAGAGGCAGATGGAGAAGAAGGACGAGATGATCGCCACCCTCTCAGCCGGCAGGTAGAGCCGATCCACCTCATTAGCGCCGACGAAGAGCTGGCTTCATCCACGTGTGGTGGCCGCATGCCTCTCATTATCATCATCATCACCATCATCATTTGTTATTATTTATACAGCGCCTCCCATGCAGTAAATCTCGGGGGGCCGAAACAAGGGAGATTTTGAGATAATTACTCCGTAAAGCAAGTGGTTGCAGGCCGAGTACAATGTTAAAAACAATGCATTGCGGACAATATACGCAACAAATGGGGATAAACTAAATTGAAAAAAATAATCTGTGCTTTGAGGCGACTCTTTTAAAGAAAAGACTATAACCAAAGTGGTGCTTTGGAATCAAATGTTGGTGGATCACGTACAGATTTGTGAAAGTCCAACCCTCTGAGCCAGATGGCCATGGGTTAGCAGTACAGCAAGTAGATTCACGAGCCCGTATGTTGCAGACCTTATCCCCTCGAGGGCATGGTGGGGTTTTTTTCAACTCTCCAGATATTCAGATTTATTTCAAAGAAAAATAAAATTTCGACATTTAAGTGGAATTAGCGGTGGCGTAGCCGTCGAGAGTGCAGGCAGTGCAACTGCACCGGGGCCCACGGGCCTAGAGGGCCTCAGGCACTGCACTACGCAGAGGGGGTTGGGGGAATGAATAGGGAGGCTTTGGGGGGGGGGCATTTCGTACCTTCCACCAGGGCCCATGCTAACCACGCGACTACTCCTCTACTCCACTGGAGGAGATCAACCGCTAAACATCACGGTGCAGGTTCCTCGTGGGTACATTTTCAAATGCAGCGATGAATAAATGATGGTGATGCGTCAGGCACGGTGCACGAAGCTCTCCATCTGTGGCTTCTCGCCGATACCGGGTTTCAAAAGTGGAATATGATGATGACCCGGCAAACTGTCATGCGGCGCGCTGTAACAGGATACAATGAATCTGCTACAGAATGAATGATAAATTATGTTAATTCAGAAGGAAGCCAATCAGCGTCAAGGGACGGCCGAATATGGGCCTTTTCAATTCACCAATCGTCTTTTTAAATCCAGAAATCATGTATTCAAAATATCACAGCTTGAATACACACAGGTATTAAAAATATCACAGCTTGATCCATGCTTGATCCATGCTCAAACAAATACAAACAAGAATTCTAAATATCACAGCTTGAATACACACAGGTATTAAAAATGTCATAGCTTGATCCATGCTTGATCCATGCTCGAACACATACACACGTTGCAGTATTTCTTATATGGGCAAAACCACGCCAAATTACTCCATAAATGGGCCTAGAAAATTAACATAATTTATAATTAATTCTGCCGCGGATTCATTTCATCCTGCGACAGCGCACGCACACGTGTGTGCTGAGCGAGCCCCTTTTCCTGGTGGAGATGGTTACCGCGTAGCTTTCATTAGACAGAACAGCTCGAGGGAAGAGGAATTGATGGCCCGAAATTGCCTGGCGGGTGAAGGTAGATCGCTCAATCGTGTTGCATCGCAAGCGTAGTGACTCTCAGAGGCACCTGCCTCCGGCCACGTGAGAAAGCGACGTCGCGAAGGCATTGTCGGGTTTGGTGTCTACATGCCGCCAATAATAATAATACCGTAATGTTAACTCGTAACGCGGCGCCGCACAGCGTAGTGGCTCATTCTCGGAGAGAGAGATTAAGAGGAGCCACAGACGTGTGGGGAGGCAGCAGCAGCCACGCGGTGAGGAGCCGGCACCAACGATTGTCCAAGCTCTGCGGTCCTCTGTACGTGAAGGTGTTATCAATCAATGTGGGAGGAAACTGGAGAACCCGGAGAAAACCCACGGCACGTGAGGGGGAAGATGTGGAGTCCACATTTTTCGTTGTTCTGCCTTCTCCTGCCGAGCCAGGGTACGGCACCTCCTGGACGCCCACGGGGGGGAGGGAAGTTTCACAACATCTGTGGCGGTGATCCACCGACCCTCGCGTCCGCAGCGCTGGGAGTAGTGGCCACGTGTTGTATGAGTCACCAAGCGCCCGGAGTGCTGAATTTAGCAGTCGCTCAGCCTCATTTCAAAAGAGTGTAACCGCACAGAGTAATATGTTTATAGAATCCCCCCCCTGATTTCTAATGAGCCTCTTGCTTTCTTCTCAACATCTGAGTGGATACTGTGAGCGCGATGGTGGCCCCGTGTCTTGCAGATGAGACCGTATGTGTAATATTTGCATTAAGATGAAAGGGAGACGTGTAGAGACTATGAAGTGAAATGTTGTTTCCTGTAGAACAGCTCCAATGTATTATTTAGCAGGGTATCCGTTCACCCTGTATATCCAATTAGTCATTTGTAGCTCATTTAAATGAAACAAAACAGAGCTCCGTGACTATTTGCTTGTATTTATAATGCTGTACTTTTGAATTCCCAGGTCTCCCTTGACAATGAGAGTCTCCGTTTGGGCTCTCAGCTCGTTCGCATAAAAGCTTTCATGTCTCTCGAGTTAATCACGTGACGTGGTTAAACAAGTGCTGTTGACACACATTGCGAATTCGGCTGCATCGCGCAAACCAGTTATTACGGCCGCGTCATCCCAGCAGGAAATATGTGTGAATGTGACTGCTCACCCGATGCTGATTCTCACTTTCTTGTTTCTTCCGTTGGAGAAGGAGCAGTTCCTCAGGCGCGAAGGTACGTGGTGACCACGTGCACACACATCTTTTCCTATTTTGTCTTTTCCCCAATTTCTACTCCGCTTACGCGATGGGCGTCATGTCATGAGGCAGCGTGATGAGTTGCCAACTCTCGCAGAGCAGCGAATCATCACCTCACGTGACAGAGAACGGCTCCGCAGAAGATGACACCATAGAACTACCGCGGAGATTTCTTGAAAGCGACCTCTTTTATACACACGGGCACACTTCCCCACATTCTCTGCCAGAATGTAGAAATTAATTCTCAAAGCTGCGCCGAAGCTACATTTAAGGGGAAATTGTACATTTAAAAGCATGGTTTTACGAGCAGTTATTGATGGCTTGAGACCAATAGCTCGTGACCATTGAGAAGCTAGTTTAATCTCCGACTTCTGAACAATCCCAGCCACCGCCACACTCGCAACGACACGTCCGTGATAATAACACAAGACAAGTTTTGTATCATGCTTGTGCAGCCTCTTCATTTCAACATGCAACGTGCCACCGTGCACAGCATTCGCTCGCTCTCGAAGAGAGAGAACAACCCAGGGGCGCGAGGAGGAATCACAGACGGGCAGGAAGGCAACGGCGACGCCATGAGCTGGCACTAAAATTTGCCCAAGTTCTGCGGTCCTCTAGACATTGGGGTGTTGTCAGCCAATTAATGAGTGCTGCGTGTGGGAGGAAGCTGAAGCACCCGGAGAAAAACCCTCGTGTGCGAGGGGGAAACACTTTATCCCATGCATACAAAGCAGGTGGACTCCACATTTCTTCCCTACTGCCTTCTCCAGGAGCGGCGTGAGCTAGAATGTGCAGGGCTACGCTTTTACCAGCTTCTTACCCTCTACAATGGTTAGCGATGCAGAATGAGCATGCGGTCTTCATCGACCACCAATGAGTAAACCGTCTGGTGTATACCCTTGACCCTAACCTGGCCTGACCCGTGCCTATGCTGTACGTCACAGCACAGCTATCGATCGAAGCAGTGATTGCGACAGCGAGGCGTTGTTTGGTAGTAACCATGTGTGCCGTGTCTATACGACGCAAGACTTACAAAACCACGCGCACGCCTTACACAAAGACACGCACACAAAGGCAAAGATCCCCCATATAGGCTGAACAGATCGTTGGGGGCAAGTGCTGTTAGCGAGCGCCTATGAAGGCCGGCACGGCACACGAGGGGGTGGGTGGCCAGCACCACGCCCGGCCGCATGATTTTTTTTTGACCGGACTTGCTTTTTTTGTTAGTTTTTTTTTTCCGTGACCAGGTCTCTATTGTGGTACCGGGTCCCCATGGAAAGTTAGCATTTATTGCCCAATGGGGATTTACCTGTGCCAGCATTAAACATACACGCACACACAATCTCACATTAATCTCACATTAATTACACACACAGGCGTTACACAACATACCCACACATTGTAATATGCATGTATGCAGAACTTATTTCGCACAAGCTCACACGTATGCCACGTATGACACGTATGACACGTATGACACGTATGACACGTATGACACGTATGACACGTATGACACGTATGACACGTATGACACGTAGAGACAAAGATCCCCCATATCGCCTTAACAGACTGAAGGGGCAAGTGCTGTTAGCGAGCACCTATGAAGGCCGGCACGGCACACGAGGGGGTGGGTGGCCAACACCACGCCCGGCCGCCTTTGTCTCCCCAGTGGCGATGTTTACACACCGCACCAGGCACTCATTTGAGGCTTAGTCGACCTAGGGGAGGCCCAAGACCGGTTCAGATAATCGTCACTGGCGTTGGCCGTGAGCGGGAATTGAACCCGGGTTGCCAGGTTCGAAGCGCAACGCACGAACCGCTACACTACCCCCACTCCGTGGGCACGCAAACATCACAACACGTGACTTACGCAAACACACACAACTAACTCAAAGACACGTACATGACTATTATTCGGCCAGTTAATTTTAATTATCATTCTTGTTTCTCCAGGAGAGCCTCACTGACTCTTCAATGCTCGTTCTTCAGGAGGGTTACTGGAATGTTTTCGTAGGAAGGGGGCGCTATTGTTGCTGTGCATAGTCCCAATTGAGCGATTAGCAGGTTATCTTTCAGCGTTGGGATTTTTGGCCAATTCCAGTTACATTGTATGGCGCTTTCTTTTTTTTCCCGTAGCCATGGTGGAAATCAAAACGTATACACGCGCAGGCCTTCCACATTCATTTTCTTTGGCCAATTGTGTTTATTTGTTTAGGTATATGTCACGTCTCACTTTTAAGCGACCCAAGCCATCCTCTAGTCCAGCGATTCTTAAACTTTATTGCAGCCTTGCACCCCTTTGGCTCTCCATCGATAAACAATTGACAATGTTAATAAATACACCGAGGTTTGACGAAACAAAGTAAGTTGTACTTACCTGCCCGTGCATAATTTGTGTCTCGATGATTTACCTTCTAAAAAAAATACCTGCCCATGTCTTGCACCAACCACCAAAGGGCCTCTCGCACCCCCAGCTTAAGAGAACACCTGCGCTAGTTGGACTTTACGAGGTTCTTAGCATCGCCGTGCCGAGAACGCCGCACAAGACCTGGCGGTGATCATCAACGCGCTTGCTGCCGTACGCGACTGGCTTGCACGTCCATCTAATCGTTAGGAATGAACGGCTGCGACCATAGCTGCGAATCTGGGCCCTTACACGGTCTCTACGGTCAACAGTGTGTCTGGCGGGTGGGCGGGCTGGGGGGGGGGGGGGGGGGGACGCATCATAATAATTATAGAAGTGAGAATAATTAGCGCATTTGGTATTCGGGTCATTCTCGTTGCACAAGGTTATTATGAAGGCGCTGTTCCATTGAAGAGTGAAGTCTGCCACCCGGGAGCAATGTTGCAATGGCACACAGGCGCAGTGTAGCAACAACTCAGCACACCCCTGAGCAACAAGGCAGCGTGGTTGACGAGCGCGCTTTAGTTTATTGCTAATGAGGTAATTTGCGGGAATATTTAAGAGCCCGTCAAAGTTACTTTGGACCGTGACGCCGGCAGACAAGGCCTTGACCCTTCCCTCACTGCGAAACGAAGCGGCGCGTGTTTTTTCTCGGCTCAATGCAGACCACATTATTTACCAGGATGGCCACCGGGCTCGAAGGGCAAAACCATCTGCAACAAGTGGCGAGTGGCGACGCTCAGCTTAAAAAAAAAATCAAGTTGATTGCAGCTTCTCGTGCGCGTTGGGGAGCGGTAGTGCAACAATTAGCGCTGCGCTGCGCTATGAACCCAGCAACCCCGAATTCGATTCCCGCTCACGGCCAACACCAGTGGCGATTATTTGAATCGTTCTTAGGCCTCCCCTAGGTCGACTCAGCCTCAAATTATTGCCTGGTGTGATGTGTAAACATCACCACTGGGGAAACAAAGGCGGCCGGGCGTGGTGCTGCCCACCCACCCCCTCTTCATAGGTGTTCGCTAACGGCACTTGTCCCAACAGTCTGTTAAAGCTATACGGGGGATCACTGTTGAGTGCGATTACCATGCAGGAATTCAACAGATGTGCCATTACGAACGTGATCCTCCAAAATAAATAAACGAATGAATATATGAACTCACGCACCGAACTTAGGAATTCACGCTGGGTGTTTTTTTTTATTATATTACATCCTGACATTGATAATCTGTGGCAATTAAAAGAAAAAATGTGTTTACCAGCTGAACTTAATTTCCGGAGTTATTATCACAACATTATTGCTGCCTTTTTTTAAACACCAGATTCACGCTATCATCATCATCATCATAATCTGTGCCTTTAACTTGTGTTAATGACTTGCTGCGCTTTATATCTCCACGCACTCTAAGTCGGGCTCACTATTATTACCGGGCGATGGTGACGCACATCTGTGATCCGGCACTGTGGAGGCGATGATTGGTGGATCACACAAGTGCCAGAATGTCCCTTCCGGCGAGCGTTGAGGAGCCATACCCTGGCTTGTTAGGTAGGAGAATGCAGTAAAGCAAAATGTGGACTCCATCTGTTCCAGCTGTATGGGATAGAGTGTTGGGTTTTCTCCGGGTGCTCCGGTTTCCTCCCACGCGCAAATTAATCGGCTGCAAACACCTTAATATATAAAGGACTGCAGAGCTTGGGAAATTGTTGGCACCAACACACCGCCTGGCTGCTGTCTTCCCGCTTGCCTGTGGTTCCTCACACCTCTGAGCAGTCCTCTCTCTTCGAGAGCGAGCGAATGCTGTGCGGCACATTACAAGTTGAAAAAGCATGAATAATAATTATGAAACTATTATTTTCCTTATTTTTTAAAACACCCATGTTTTTTTTTTACATGTAAATAATATATATGTGCATATTCTATCTTACAGCCGCGGTAGAAAGACCACTCTTGCCTGGTCATGGCATCCGATCGCTGGAAATCCGTCAGGTTTTTTAATGACTGCATTATGCTAGCATAGCGCTTTACCATTTGCAATGATATGTAGATAACCTCCCAACAAGTAAAAATGCCTTACGACTAAAGCCCATGCGCCAGGTGTGTGTGCGTATGTTTACACAAGCGGGCGTGCACCTGGGAGCATGTGGTTGGTGGTCACGGTGGTGATGGTGGCCCTAGTGATGGGGTGCCGGGGTAGGCTCATGATCGAATAGCGGTCTGCATCACACCTGGTGCCCCCCCCCCCCCCCCCCCCAGGGATTAACTGAATATTCACCGGTATCGCTGGTATGCTGGAGTAGGCAGCACGTGATTAGTAAACCCACAGCCATAATATACCAGATGTGGTGTCCAGAGTGCGGCAAACTTTCCAGGTGGCTGGTAGACTAAGAGTATGCACGTGACTAATAACCTTAGCGAGAGGAGGTAAACTGGATGCGGTGTGCAGGGTGCGGAAACATTCTCCTAATCGCCGGTCGACTATGAGTATGGAGCGACTGATGGCCACACACATAGCGAGAGGAGGCATGCTGGATGCCATGTGCAGGGTGCGGAAAAATGTCCCAAGTCGCCGGTTCACTGAGAGCATGCACGCGACGAGTGGTCGTGGTGTGCAGGCTGGAAAGAATTTCCCCGGCCAGACACGGCTGAGACGAATCCCCGCTCCCCTCCCCGCTCCCCGCCGCGCAAGGTGACGTTCGAGCCGCTGCTAGAGGCCGCCGCGGCACCGTCGCGCGAGCTGCTGTCGGGCAGCCACTACCGTACGGCGGCGGAGACGGCACGCGGTGAGCTCGCCGCCATGCAGGTCAAGCAGGAGGGGCTCGAGGCGGAGGTGAGGACTGCGGAGCGCGACGATGCGTGGGGGTGGCCGCAGAGGGCTACGAGCCCTCTGCGGCCCACCCGGGTTCGATTGCCGCCCACGGATGCCAAACACCGGTGACGATTGTCTCAATGGGTTCCGGGCCTCGGTCCAGGTCGACTCAGCCTCAGACGAGTGTGTAGTAAATATCGCCACTGGGGAGACAAAGGCGGCCGGGCGGGCGTGGTGCTGGCCACCCACCCCCTCGTGTGCTGGCCTTCAAAGGTGCTCGCTAACAGCACTTGCCCCAACAGTATGTTGAGGCTATCCGGGGGGATCTTTGTCGTTTTGTGGCCAGAGATGCAACCACGATGGGGGGGGGGGGGAGGTAATTGTCCCCTACCCACCGAAATATTTTTTACGGTTGTATGCCCATAGACCAAAAAAAAATTATAAATGCAAATTAGGAACGAACTCGTGAACGTTAATGTGTCATTCAGTTTTCATACGTGTAATAATGTAACATTACAGAATCGTCATTTTGTTTGCAATCAATTTAGTTTCCCGAAATGAGCGAACTTGGTATGAAAGTGGAACCGTGGGTGTGCCGCTATGCGAAACGACGCTTGGTGATGCAGCCTCGCGAGGAGGCCACAGCCCGGGGTGACCCACGCCGCACGTCCATGGACGGGTCGGCTCAGGTTTGCTCGAGTGAACCGCCTGGGTAGGCCGGAATTGTCTCCAGACCTCGAGTTGAAGGACAATTCTGGGGCAGGTCACTCACCACGCCAGATGTAAAGTGAAATTTTCTCCCCGCCTGCACATTTTTCGATTGGCTTGCTCGGTGAAGTACTTCCACTTGGCGTGAATTCTGACGTTGGAATTTGGGCCAGACCGTGAGATGAAATCATCGCAAAGAAATCAGACTCTTACCCAAATTGGCAGCCAACTTGAGCTGTCTAAAAATATGGGAATGCAAGGGTGTTGGTTGTGGTGTAGAGGTCAGCTCGGGTACATACTGTATTTAGGTTCTATGGTTTACGGAATCGCGGTATTCGTGAATGTGTGTTGAACGACTCGTAGATTAAAATCGATTCCTATGCTCACCGTACATGCATCGCTTGGTGCATGTATGAATCACGTGGTGGTGGCGCACGCCTGCAATCCAGGACTGTTGAGGTAAGGGTTTGGTGGATTACACAAATGTGAAATTTACTTCCCGTGGGCATCAAGGAGCCGTACCCTGGCTAGCAAGGAGAATGCAGTGCGGCAAAAATGTGGACATAACCTATTCCATCTGTATGGGATATAATGTTTCTCCCTCGCACAATGGGATGTCATCCTGGTGCTCAGATCCCCTGCCATATGCAAACACTCATCAACTGGCTGATAACAGCTCAACATATACAGGACCGTAAAATCTTAGGTAATTGTCGGCACCTGCTCACGATTTGGCTGCATTCCTACTCGTCTGTGGTTTCTCCTCGTGCCTCCTGAGTCATCTTTCTTCGAACGCGAGCTGCATGGCAGCCAGCTCACTGCACGTGGTTTCGGCCACCAACGCGGTAGCGGCTGCCCATGGTGGGAGCAGCTTCCAGCAGCGGCTCAAATGTACCGGGAGTTCGAAATCGGCGCCTCACGGTCATCTCGACTGTGATTCCACCAAAATTATCTCACCAAACGTGTCACGACACCTTCGCCACCCTACACGTCCAAACACATTACACGGTCACGTGTTCAAGCATTCAGCGTGCCAGCTTATTGTCATTTCAACTCGCCGGTGAGTTGCAGAAGAATTTGTAAGTTCTGTTTACGTGACAAACCTTACTAATTGGCTGCGTCGGGTGGGGTGGAGGGTTTAACGACAGATTTCTTTTTTTTATTTAAAGCTTTCGTGACTGCAGTAATTCATATTCTTAGCTCTTTCGGTAAAGTCACGTTGAAGCGAAGCAATAAAATAATAAAATATATATAAAACAATAAAAATTCTCACGACGTTTCGACCATAACACAAACGGTTGTGATCAGGTGTGAAAAACCAACGGCAAGAAACATTTGAAAGAAGTGGCGGTTTGCATTTATTTATTTATTTGTAAACGGTGCATTTATGTATTTATTATACGGCTTACCAAAAATACATAAAGCAGATACACCCCTTCGTCCCATCGTCTCTACTATCAACTCCCCCACCTACAAACTGGCTCGTTTTTTGTCTGAAATCCTGCGTCCTTTCACTGGAAAAACCACCTCTGCGGTACAAAATTCTACTCACCTGGTATCGACAATCAAGGGTATTTCCCTGTCCCCAGACGACCTGCTTGTCAGTTTTGATGTAGTTTCCTTATTCACCAAAGTTCCTGTACCTGACACCATCGCAATCATTGAAGACTTGGTTCATCAAGGACTAAACACTAAGGTACCCCCCCTGGTGAGACACTGTTTAACCAATACATACTTCACTTGGAATGGAACTTTCTACAAACAAACTGAGGGCACCCCAATGGGCTCCCCCCTATCTCCGGTTATAGCTAACATTTTCATGGAGAAATTTGAGACTGACGCCATCCAGACTGCCACTCTGCGCCCAACCTTATGGAAGAGGTACGTGGATGACACTTTTGTCATCTGGCCACATGGCCGGCCTGCTCTAGACCAATTCTTCGACCACATCAATTCCGTACACCCAGCCATCAGATTTACCAGGGAAGTCGAAAAGATGGCAAGCTACCTTTTTTGGATGTCCTAATAAAAAAGAGACCTGATGGTTCAATGAGCCACTCTGTCTACAGGAAAGCTACCCATACGGATGCTTATCTGAAACCGGATTCCCACCACCATCCATCACAGAAGAATTCTCTCATCAAGACTCTGTACCATAGAGCCCAATGCATATCCGACCAGGAACACATAGGCAGTGAACTCAAGCACGTACACCAAGCTCTTAAGGCTAATGGTTACTCCGACTATACAATCCGCAAAGCTATCACTCAAACCATGAAGAAAGACCCTCTTGAGGAGCCTTCCAAAACCATCACTTTACCCTACATTGCGGGGATCACAAAAAAGATCTCCAAAATCTTGAATAGACATAAGATCCAGGTCCGTTTCAATACATTACATAAAATCCGTGATCTGGTTCCGTCGGTAAAAGATGTGATTCCGGACATACAGTACCCTGGTGTCTACAAACTAAGTTGCCTCTGTGGTAGTAGTTACATTGGAGAAACCAAACGCCATGTCTCGGACCGCATTCGTGAGAACAAAGCAGACCTAAAACACGGTAGGACCAACACTTCGGCCGTGGCAGATCATTGTTATAATTCAGTAGGCTCACATGACATTGACTTTTCCAAGACGGAGGTTCTTTGTAAGCCATCTGGCTTCCATGAGAGATTCGTTCATGAGGCTATCCACATATACAAACACAGAGACAATTTCAACCGAGAAGATGGATTCTATCTTAGCAATCATTGGAAAGATTTGATAAATCATTTCAGTTCTTGATTGATTGTTCACGCTTACAGTGCCTTTCAGACAGCATACATAAAAACAAATTTCGTCTCCCCCCTCCTCTTTTCAAAAAATAGATGGACTAGTCCTGGCAAACTGCCATCGTTGCGCGTGACGCAAACGTTATTTTTATATATATAAATAAATGTGCCGTTTTCAAAATAAATTTATGCAAACCGACACACCTGATGATGACCGTTTGAGTTATGGTCGAAACGTCGTGAGAATTTTTTTTTTTAATTGTTTTATATATATTTTGTTATTTTGTTGTTTCTCTTCAACGTGACTTTACCGAAAAAACTAAGAATATGTCGTGAGAATTGTTATTGTTTATATAATTTATTATTTTATTGTTTCCCTTCAACGTGACTTTACCGAAAGAGCTAAGAATAAGATTTATATTTATGCGATCGAACTAAAAACAAATCTCTTATGGAGAAACAATCCTCGCGTCCTTCTCCTCTTCCTCCTCTTCCCACGCCCCCCCCCCCGCCACCCCCGAAACCTCTCAAACAGCTGCGGGAGCTGCGCGGGCGCCTGGCGGCCAAGGAGTCGGCGACGCAGGAGCTGCGCGCCGAGCTGGAGTCCCACCGTGAGAACGGCGCCCGGCACGCGTCGCTCATCCAGTCGCTGCGTGAGCGGCTGCGCGACACGGAGGAGGCGTCGGGCGCCCTGAGCTCGGCCCGCGCACGCTACGACGCCGGCATGCAGGCCGCGCAGGAGGACGCCCGCGACATGCAGGCCCGCATCGCCGAGTTGGAGGAGCGGCTCAGGTGCGCGATGCTGACACCGGTGGCACGGGGGTGGAGGTGGGAAGCGGCGGTGGGGGGGGGGGGGGGGGGGGGGGGGGTGGCGGGCGGCGTGTACGTATGTCGAACTTCTCTCGCGCCGTGAGTAGCCAACCGTCCTAACCGGAGGCGCAGGAAAGGACAACGAAACTGAACACCAGATAAAGCAGTTGTGAATAAATTAGTTGCCGACCTTGAGACACTTGAAGCCACCTGAAGCGATGTCAGACTCAGAGGTAGCTCTGTGGTATCTGCTTCCGTGGGCCGTTCCCGAAGGCGAGAGTGGGTAACGTGGCTCCGCAAGAGAGCGGAATGGACTCTCCGTCTCATCGCGTCATTCAGGAGCCCACCACGCTTTCAATCACTCATCCATCCCACCATGTATTAAGTGGTCCATCCAATTCGACTATTGGTCTATCCATCCGCAAGTGAACTCATCATTCTTTGGTTCGTATATAACGAACGAGAAAAAATCCGCTTCGAGATAGGAACCACACTGGCCGGATGTGGCGAGGTAGCTCAGAGGTCAGACATGCTGAGCGGGCACCCCTGAGAGCCTGGGATCAGAGATGAAACCGGGTTCACAAGTGTCACTGAGTTGAAGGTCTTAGCCTGGTCACCAGTGACTGCGTAAATGATAAATAAATAAGCAACCCACCACATTAAATTTAGTTCTGCATTTCGTTTGGCTGAATCCCAGCTTTGAGCCTTAAATACAGCGGTTTGACTCTCATGCGACGATGGCAGTGTGCTGCATCAAAGGACACTTGGAAGGGTCGGCAAAGGTAGCTTCTGTGACATCCGCTTCTGTGGGCCGTTCATCGAACACGAAGGGATTACACTGCTCTCGGGGAGAGATCCAAATGGAGACTTCGTCTCACGACTTGATGCATGATGGTGCCGGTTGTAATCACAAGCAAGAACGTCCATACCCAATTGTTAAATGTGTCTGTGGGTTGCTCTCCAACACACACGGTGGTGCTGAAAGCAGTAACACATTGGCACATTTTTTCATTATTAATTGTCTTAGTCATCATGCCAAAAGCACAGATGGTATACAATTTGTGGGATTTTTTTTTTACTTTACAAAGGGGCCTCCACAGTGACCGCTTGAGTGGCCCCTCTTGTCACGGTGTGGGAGCTACCAAGTGTGCCCCGTGTGGTGCAAATATTGATCTCTGTGCACTTCTTTTGAAGGAGTGTAAATATTGGATTAACCAACCGTAGATGGCAAACACGTGCTGGAAGATAGCTGGTGAGTTTAGCGAAGGTCACGGTGGGAGTTTGGCAGCTAGAACAGTTACCATTCTTGCACATTACACTGCTAGAAATGGCAAACAACGGACACATTCATTGATTGAAGTCAGGGTTTTTAAAAAAAACCCCAGTTACTCGCGTCCCACCGTGGCGTGTCCTTCCTATTCAGTGCTTGTGCTGCACTGAATTTGGCTAAATTCTAGTTCTTAAATAAAAGAAAAATCAGTTTTATTACGGTGCAATGAGCATTTACTCTCTGTTTGGCAGGGGTGGGGTGGGGTGGGAACATGCCCCCCTCTACTGTGTAGAAGGGATCTCAGACGTAGTTTTGTGATGTCTGCTTCTGTGGGCCATTCTCTAACACCGAGTGCTGCACCAGTTTCATATTTAGCCGCGTTACACATTGCACGCGCCCGATCAATTATTTACCCATCCCACGCGACAAGGACAGTGGTATTAATTTGCGGTTCACTGCATGACATGTAATGCAGACAAAGATACATGTCCCCCAAATAGTCCGTGTAGGCTGTTGGGTCAAGTGCTGCAAGTGAGTAGACAGGCGTGGAAACCCACAGACTCGCATGCAGACACCATGGTCTCACACAGCAGGGCGTAAGTTCTCACTGAATATTTGCTGGCTCCTTGGTAGACTGGCGCGAGAGAGAAAGAGGCATACAGTCTGTTCCCCTAAAACGCGCTAGTTACTTACCTGAAGAACACTGCGTGATGTAAAAATCGCGTTATAATAAATGATATATCATGTAGCGGTAAAGCACAGTCGGCGATGACACGCGAAATGCGTACGCAGTCCGAACAAAGACCGAGGCGTGTGGGTAGCATCTAGAAGCATCCACCAGCATCCCGTCTCGTGCGATGCTACTCCCGAGGCAGCCGCACATCCACTTATTGCTGCTGGCGCGGCGTAGTTCAGTTCACTCAATTGCGCTGTATCCAATTCGCATCGTGAAAACACGCGTTATAGGTGGAACAGGTGGCACTGGACGCGGTGTGCCGGGTGGGATTTAGCCCGGGGTGCCGCCCCTCCGCAGGTTGCACCTGGCCGAGAGGGAGCAGGCGGAGCAGAGGGCCGTGACGATGGACAAGCGGCTGGAAGACGCCGTGGACAAGCTGTCGAGGGGGCTCAATGTGGACACGCGTGCGGAGGACTACCCCGTCGACCTGCTGGCCTCCCGGGTGCGTGCGGCCACGCGCCCCTCGCCCGGGCCCCCTGATGCGCGCCGTGCGAATGTGTTTTGTGTGCGTGGGTGCGGGCCTCTCCTGGGTTGACTCGGCCATAAATGAGTGCCTGGCACGATGTGCAAACGTCGTCAGCAGGCGGGAGATGGAGGCTGGCCAGGCGTGGTGCTCCCGACAACAACCCCGTCGTGTGCTCTGACAGCCTTTCATAGCCGCTCGCTCTACAGCACTTGCCCCAGAAGTTGATATTTCTATACGTGTGCACGTGCGTCTGTGGTTGAGCGGTAGTGTAGCGGTTGACGCTCTGCGTGATGACCCCGGCGGCCCGAGTTCAATCCCGACTCGCGACCAATAATAGTGACAAATATTTGAACCGATCCTGGGCCTCACCTAGGTCGACTCAGCCTCAAATGAGTACCTAGTGCGGTGTGTAAACATCGCCACTGAGGAGACAAAGGCGGTCGGGCGTGGTGCTTGCCCCCCACCCCCTCGTGTACCGTTCCAGCCTTCATAGGTGCTCGCTAACAGCACTTGCCCCCTACAGTCTGTTGAGGCTACATGGGGGATCTTTGTCTTTTGTGTTTATGGCACCAGCCGCCCGATTGCGCATCATGATTTTTCAGCATCAAACGCTTCAAAGGATGAGCCCGTGCCCTGGAGGAATTCTTTTTCAAAGAAAAAACCGCGGGGACCTGGCAGGGCTTTCAGAAGTCGGGCTAGTTAACATGTCAGATTATCCGCAATGAACATTTGTTATAAATATATAAACACGGAGTCTGGTTAGCTCGAACGTGAGTGGCAGATTATGTGCGCTATTCCGTTCGCGGAGCAGATGTTATTGCGGCTCCTTATGAAGCTGGGCTTATCTCTGGAGAATCCGTTACGTGATTAGAACATTGCGTTTTAAATGGTTAAGTGTGTAATAAGGTAAGTAATTAAATGTTTAGACGGCCTGGACAGCGAGTTAGGGACGCGTGCCCCCTAATGCGCTAAGCAGCCTGTTATGCCTTGCTTCAATAATTACAGCAACAAAAACTTTCCTCGCGCTTAAAACGAATTCCACCGTGGGTCCGCTGAACATTGTCGGGTGAAACAGGAGGTGTGTTGCGCGTTGCCTGTTGATGACCGTGAGTAGACCCAACACCACGGCGCTGTGGGTTTGACGCGCTGCCAACGCGTTTCGGAGCGACGTCCCGCAGTGCGGCAGGGATTGAGGGCAGGGCAGTGCTCGTCGTCCGCCTGATGAAGACCGCTTGAGTTGCGATCGAAACGTCGTGGGTTTTTTGCTTTTAATTTTGACGTTTGTCTTCTATCTGCGTGACTTTACCGAAAGAACCAAGAATATAGCGCCAGTCATGCTTGTGCCTCACGGCAAGAAGGACCTGGCTTCAATTCCTTATTTTGAGTGGCGTTCGCATGCATTCATATGTTCTCCATCCCCCCCCCTCCCTGTTCATGTGCTACGACCCGAGATAGATTCCCGCTCACTGCCAACACCAGTGACGGTTATCTGAACCGGTCCTGGGTTTCCCCTAGGTCGACTCAACCTTAAATGAGTACCTGGTGCAGTGTGTAAACATCGCCACTGGGGAGACAAAGGCGGCCGGGCGTGGCGCTGGCCAACCCACCCCCTCGTGTGCCATGCCGGCCTTCATAGGTGCTCGCTAACAGCACTTGCCCCTACAGTCCAAGGCTTGGCTTTGCATGCGTGTGTGGAGTTTGTATGCTCTCCGCCTGTTCTCCTTGGGTTTCCTTCGGGTGCTCTGATTATATATATTTTTAAAAAACACCACACAACAACGCACATGTTTAGACAGCGTGGACGTGCGTACGCGTGTCGATGTGCGTGTGCACGCGCGTTTACGGTTGAGCGGTAGTGGAGTCATCAACGCTGCGCACGATGAAGCTGGAGCCTGAGTTCAATCCCGACTCACGACCAATATCAGTGACAAATATTTGAACTGAAATCCCAAAGCTGAAATTTTTTAATGATCATTTATAATTGAGTGACTCGCAATTAATTACTTGCGAATAATTATTTTCTATCTCTTCCCTGTTCCCCTCTTTCCCGTAAATATTTTTTTCTTTGTCCATCCGTTATATCCGTGACTCTCCTCCCCTCCCCGCGGTCGCGTGCCGTGGGGGCACAACAGCTGTCAGGCCGACAATCGTTTTTTCGCGTCATTCAAGTGGGCCCTGTGCCGTGCGTTGGTTTGTTCACTTAAAAAAAAAAATTTTACTTTACGCCACAGGCCGCCGAACTCTTCCAGGAGTGCGTGCTCCAGCGGGCCAAGATCGCGAGCCTCGAGGGCGCCTTGGCCTCGCAGGAGGTGGAGGCGAAGGCCAGTCGCGAGACCATCATGCGCCTCGTGTCAGAGGTCGGCCGCGAGCAGAAGGTCGCCAGCTCGCAGGGCCAGGAAGCCGAAGCCCTCCGGAAGGTAAGGGGGGCGGGGGGGGGGGGGATGAGGGAATTCTGCGGGAGGGCGCGTGGCAATTTTTTCCGAAGCGGTAAATCTCAATTTGGGAGGTTGTCGCTCGCGGTTCGAGTCCCGGCGGTTTGCCCCGGTCAATACGGCCGTCCTCGTGTGTTTGACCAAAAGTTCCCCCGCTGTGTGCTTTCGAAGTGGTTGTCAAAGAGGCTCTGAAATCACCAGGATAAGAGTGGGCCACGCGTGCCCGTGTTACAATCCAAATTGCTAAGATTAGCTAATTGGGTGAAAGTCACACAGAAACATCGCCCCTCACCATGAAACAACTGTGAAACATAGAGCGCCTTGATAGTAGCCTCGTACTATACGAATGGCGTGAACACCAAATGTACCAACGATGATGATAATACGCACGCATTTTACTGCACTAACCTTGCAAGATATCCTAATGCATCCCAATGTGATTCTATCAGCTCTTAAGAAGACACATTGATGGAATGATCACTGAGCCAGTGGTGGAAATTCCCTGTTAACCATAAGGCACAACCGCCGTTGAATTCCTCACAAAGTGGTACCTATTTTATTGACCCCAGAAGAATGATGGGCTGAGTGAAGAACCAACCAGGATTTGAACTTGGAACCTTTCAGATTGCGAGCCGCTGGCTCTACCGCCAAGCCACTTGGCCGGATATACATCATTCCCCCGTTGTTCGAGAGAAATAAGTTCCGGAGATGCCCGTGAACAGCAAATGTCACGGATAATGATATTAAACCTACGAATATCACACCCGCAACGTCTGCAGATGCTTTTAAAGCTTCAAGAAGTTCCCTCTCCGTGAGTCATGGTCATGGTGTCACTGGCGCTGTTCAGTGGGAAGCGAGTAAATTATAGGAGCCGGCAGAAGGCGCTTAATGCAAACTCCTATTGCGCCATTATAAACGTAACGCTGATGACATATATCTTATAAATACGAGGATAAGAATGTAATTTACAGGGCATATCTCACTGCATGTCATGTATGGTCTTGGATGGATTCTGAACAACGGTGGTGGTGGTGGTGACAATAATGATGCTGATGACTGCAATAATAATAATGATGCTGAACATGATGATGAGGAAGAGGAGGATGGTGATGATTGCAATCATGATAACGACGATGATGATGACCCACGATGATGATGATGATAACCATACTGACAATTATAACAGTGCTGATAACAATGACGGTGATGATAGTGAGCGTGGAAGTAGCAAAAAGGAGAAACCACACTCTCCGACATGCCTGCGTGCATGTGGAACCTCTTTCGCACCGTGCGTAGCTGACCGTGATAATCGCGGGGGGAAGGACTTAGAGACAAAACACACAAAAAAAAACGCAGTTCTTCAAGCAAAGAGTTTTCGACCTGACGCGACCCAACGGGCCGCCCCCTCCGCAGGAGCGCGAGTCGGCGTCGCAGGCGCGGCGCTCCCTCGAGCGGGAGGTGGAGGTCCTCCGCGAGCGGCTGGAGGCCGGGCAGCGCGCGTGGGACGCGGCTCGCCGTGAGCTTGCGCAGTGGGAGCGCCGGCGCGCCGAGCTGGACGGCGGCCAGCGCGCCAGCGAGCACGAGGCGCGCGCCGCCCACGCGGCGCTGCGCGCGTTCCGCTCGCAGCTCGCCGCGATCCTCGCCGGGGGCGACGGCGACGACGGCGGCGGCCGCGGCGACCGCCGCCCGGCCGCCGGCGCCGGCGTCGGCGACGGGGAGGAGGACGTCAAGGAGCGGGTGCGGCAGCTGGTGGCCGCCCGGCAGCAGGGCAAGGCGGTGAGCAGCGCGCCCGGCCGCTGCCGGCCGGCGCTTACACCCGCCGGTGAAATGAACCGAGAGGTGAAAACCGGGTCACGAATAAAGTCAGATATTTGTTTTTTCTTCTTTCCCCAACGAAGTGCAGGGGTTTAAACGATCGACTTTGATTTAACCCTGAACCCCCGAGCCTGAACTAATTAATGAAAATAATGATGCACCTTGATCTAAGGCTGAAACTTTAACCCTAAACTTAAACCCTGAGGATAAACCCATAATCTTGATCTAAACTCTGAACCACAACCATAAATGAATTCTTTAATCGTGACTCTAAATGAAACCACTAACGCTGATATCGAACCAAAACCCGCCTGTGCAGATTCTCAGAGGTAACTCAACAGTATTCACTTCCGTGGGCCGTTCCCTCGCACACAAAGTTGAATTACTTTGCCAGAGTTCCAAGTCGATCCTCTCTCTCACGACGCGACGGCGATTGCGCAATCGGTGCTGAACGCCAACCCTGAACCAGCGCCCTCGCCAGGGCGGAGTGGGCAGAGCGAGCGGGGCGGTGGCACGTGCAGTCGCTTTGTCTGAATAGAAGGAAGCAGTGGCGTCAGGTGGGGGGGGGGGGGGGTAAGGCCCACTAAGCTATATCGGTCTTTTCCAGAAACGGCCTGGACACAAATGATCGCTCATCTAAGTGGGGTTATGTGTAAATTTATAGCAGACAAATAAGCGCATGTTGGTTCTAAATGTGGAGGGAAAAAATCCACGCGACCACAGGGAGAGAGGACATGCAAACTCCAAATAAACAGGCTACAGGGTCTGGATCTAACCTACGACCTCCTGCATACCAGGCGAGGGAGTTAACACCTTGGGACCAGGGCTTCATCTCAGCCAGGTCCGCTTGGATTGACGACACTCAAAACACTACTCGGTGATAATGTACAGCTGTGTGTACGTGTGCTGAACTTCTTTAGCACTGCATGTAGCCAACCATGCTAAATCAGAGGTGCGGGGCAAAGGCCAACAAACTAAACGCGAGAAGCAGTTTTAAAGACCTGCGTTTTCAATCTAGATTTCAAAGTGCGTCGCCCCAGTGCCTTCCTAACATCGGACGGAAGAGCGTTTCGTACGGCCGCAGAAGCGCATTCCGAACGCGCGCGACGCAGCCGTGACCGTCTCTGCTCGATGGCCGTCGGCGAAGGGTGACCGGAGTTCGCGTGATGCCTTATGCTCCTTGACGAGACCAGCTGACGGCGGAGCTGGAGGAGCGAGTGTCGCGCCTCACCGCCCAGCTGCACCGCGAGGCCGAGCAGAGCCGCGACGGGGCCCGGCGGGTGCGGCGGGCCGAGGAGCGTGCCCAGGAGATGGCCGAGCGGCTGCGCGCCGTCGAGGGGGAGCTCGCCACGGGCGACGTGCTCCGCGACGGCCTCTCCTTCGACCGCCAGAAGGTAGGCCTCGGCGGTCGGGGGGCGCCCTGCTCGGGGCTTGCCACCTGTCCCTCGTTTTCCCGCGGGTCCGTCGGCCGCCGCCCGGCGAGGCGGCCGCGCTGAGTAGGTGGTCGATCGTCAGAGGTGGAATTTAGGCCACATTAAGTGCGGAAGACAATTGAGCGTGATGGCGGGGGGTTTTTTGTGTGTGTGTGTGTCGCAGTCATTGGTGACTGGGCCGAGACCATTGACTCTACTGCGCCTGAGAACTCGATGTAATCAAAGCCAGGATCACTGCAATGCTCTGGCCTTGGTCTAGGGCAGGGGCGGGGAACGTCCGGTCCGCGGGCTATATAAGGCCCACGAAATCATTTGGTGTCTGGCCCTGCCAAGGCAACCGCAGGCGGGACTCGAAATTCAATAAATATCGGAGCAAACCTGGAAAAGCAGTTGTGAGTAGCAACAACATCGTCAATACCAGCTAACATCACACGCCTCACCAAAGAGAAGCCGTTCCAGCCATCGCATTAGGGGGTGAGTTAATTAAATGTTTGACCAAATATAACAGGCTAATTTTTAAGTTGATAATTTTGTATGGCGGCGCGAATGACGTTATATAAATATCCAAATGGCCCTTGGCAAAAAAAAAGGTTCCCCACCCCTGGTCTAGGGCAACCAAAATAATAAGAAGAGACATTTTTTTCTTCGAATTCGGTATATATATTTTTTAAAAAACTCAGTGTTTCAAGAGCCGCAATGCATGTGAATAGGAGACGTTTGTCCTTAATAAATAACGTCAGGAAGCAGTCCTCAAAGAGTCGCATGCAGCTCCGGGAGTCGCAGCTTGCCACCTGATGACGGACGCTTGTGTTGCGCCCGAAAGGTCGTGATTTATTTTATTTTATACCTATGTGACTTTACCGAAAGAACCATAGAGTATGATTACTAATGTATTATATAATTACAATACCCCCCCCCCCCCCCACCTCTGGCCCTGATCTCGAAACCTAATGGGGTTCGATAATGATGACGTCATCCTGCACTGTTTAAGACCGGAAGCAAGTGGATGGCTTCACAATTCTGGCAAATCACCCGATGATGCGAAACGTCGTACTCAAATTCTAAATGTTGTGGATTTACTCTTCAAACACACCGGTGGGCTAAAGAAGTAACTAATTGGCCTTTTGTTAACGTGACACATTTTTTTTACTGATTTGCCGTGTCGGGTGGTGGAAGGTTGCAACACATTTATAATAACGGCGATCTAACCCAAAAACCTTTATTATGAATAATACCGGTCGCGAAAGCCTACGTGTTATAAATAGACATCATATTGCCATTTATTTATACAGGAAACCCTTAATGAGTCTCAACACTCCTATTCAGTAGTGTCCTGCATTGGAATGTCGGCCCATTTACATTATTGGTTGTGTGGCATGTGGTAAGAACACAGAAAACCCGGAGAAAACCCACACCCACAAGGGGAAAGCACTCGAAGCCCCGCAACCCACAGGTTAAGAACCGCTGGCTACTGCTGGGAAGGCCATCCTGGCAAACTGGAAAGATCATGAACCTCCCTCCTGGAAGCAGTGGCGTAACACCCCGTTAGCCCTCGCAGGAACGGAGCATTCAAGCCGTAAGCTCAAGGGTAGAGAGCGGCCAGTTGGAGGCCAGATGGTTCACCATTCTTACTGAAACCGGCGTGAAAGTGCGCACGATGGGAGGTCGGGGAGAGGTATCACCCCACGGATAGACATGAGGTAACCACTGCTCTACGGGATTCATATCGATGATAAGTTAACCTGGTGCGTGTCGGTTATATTATTTTACACACCTTGTTTTGGTAAACTTACCCCCCCTTGCCCCACTTTAACAAACTGCTGGGTAAAGTGAAGTGAATGCGTGCGGCGTGGCCGGCATGGCCAGTAGGTGGCGAGGGAGCGCGTGAAACCGTGTCTGGATACCGTTATAGCAATATACAGTAATGCTCAATTTGTTTACAATATTGTATTTTTTCCATGGAACAAGGCCCCATAGTTTAGATGGAGTTCTCTTGCCAATAACATCTGGTAACCCAGAAGCGGTTGCTTAACAATGTTGAAGCCGGTCCAGACTTTGCTTGCTCGAGCAAATGCTGCTGGATAACATTTATCTGGAAAGCAAATAGGTCGATGGTATACTTGCTGTGAACATATACCAACATGCCATTTTGTGCTTGATTTGTTGAGGCCTCACAGAGATTGCCTGGTGCATTAAACAAAAATACCCCATGCACACACTTTTCTACCCTGCAAAATCAACAAGAATTGAAATCGTTGCTGCTTGTAGCTACGCGGTCTTTGGGGTCCCCAATCAGCTCGATTTATCAACACGCAAAGGCAGGGTGTGCGACCTTTTTCCATAAAACAAAACCCAGACGTATTTCTCAGTCAGACTGGGTTCATCAAAACTGTGAAAGTTCAACCCAGGACTTAATTTCCCACTCGATATTCTCCGGAATGTTCCTTGGCCTGGCCTGGAGGAATGATTGTCGGCGTAAGGCACTACCACTAGAGTACAAGGCACGCCAATCCATAATAATCCTGCATTTAGTGTAGCCTAAGTGCCTACACACCGCTGCAAAATAAGACGAGATCGAAGTGGCGTCCCAAACTAGTTCCTGCACCATTCCGGATGAAACTCCAAGCTTGTTCTCACCGAGTCACGCACACTGCACGTGACTTGCTAATAATCGACGCCGTGCTGTCTGCTCCCCTATCCAATCCAAGCACAACCTCTACCCCACCTTTTGCTACTTCTCAGTAAGCAGCTCGAGGTAACCCCTGCTCTGTCAAGTACTCCTCCCCGTTGGGCTCTTGGCAGCACGGCCCCTTCCTTGAGCCACTGGCTCATGATGACAGCACTGTGTTCAGGAGCTAAATGCCAAAATTGAGATCTGATGGCCACGACGAGAGGGGGCCTCAGGAGAGAGTTCGTTGAGTTTTGATATTCCTCCTCCGTTGCAGCAGTGCGGACTAAAGTGGTTTACTACATGACCCAGTAGCTTGGGTTTCATGGCCACAGCCGCACTACTCTGGCTTGTGTCGCCAATTTTCCATTTACTTTTGCCGCTCTGGGTACATTGCCACACGTCTAGGAACCGTCCCACCGGCCTACGCCAGAGCACAACTAGCACACAGCAATGCAATGTGCGTCACGACGCAGTTCTTCTCTCCGTGCTTTGTCGTGTCTCTGGGCGGATAAAACTAAAGACTCGGGAATGGTTCTAGAGTTGAAGCTTTAGTGACTGCAAGGATCCATACTCTTTGGTTATATTCGGTAAAGTGACGTAGGTAAAAAATAAAACAACAAAAATCACGACGTTTCGGCCACAACACAAGTGGCCTTCATCAGCTGAAGGGGACCGTGCTGTCACGAAGACAGCGTAGGACGCGACCTGGCTTGACTTTCTTAATTCCTACGCTGTCTTCGTGACAGCACGGTCCCTTCACCTGATGAAGGCCACTTGTGTTGTGGCCGAAACGTCGTGATTTTTGTTGTTTTATTTTTTACCTACGTGACTTTACCGAATAGAACCAAAGACTCGGGAATGGTGTCGCTTTTACTGGCCTTGCGTCGCGCGACGCTGCCAAATCTTTCCGTGTACAGCTGCGTGCAATGTTGCGCGTGTCTGTGTTCGCGTGCGTTTCTTTTGTTTTAATTCGCTCCTGTCCGACCGGTCGGGAATCGGTCCTTGTTGTCACGCCACATATCACCTCCGCGGCGCGGCGCTGTGCCGTCGGGAAAGACGCGATCCGTTTTTTTTTCTGCTCGGAAACCTATCCCAGCCGGAATCAAATGTCTTGCCAGGGCTAGGAATAGGAACAGCGGCGCTTGATGCCGTCACCGTGGCTCGTATAAGGGCATTGTAATCGGGGTACGACGGGTCACGCGCGAACTCGTGAAATCTTGACTTAAAGCTTTCGTGACTGCAGGAATTTATATCCTTTGTGTCTTTCGGTAAAGTCACGTAGATAGGTTCAAAGAAAATAACAAAAAAAAAGATTTAAAAAAACTACGACGTTTCGATCGCAACACAAGGCATCGAAACGTCGTAGTTTTTTTGTTATATTTTTTTGTTACTTTCTTTGAACCTATCTGTCTACGTAACTTTACCGAAAGACCCAAAGAATGTGTGCTTCATTGACGCGCGTTGCAACTGTTCGGAGCACCCAGCAAGTGGGCACGTCGTCCCCTTTTATTAGCGCCGTGTATTTTTTTTTAGCTCTCCCTCGCCCTCGATTATTTTTTGTTTATACGGCTCCTTCCACTGGCAGAACCCCGCAAAGCCTTCCAGCTGTTTTTATATTTCTAAGAAAAGTAATATAGCATATGCGGCATTGCGAGCACTCAATGTTACGAAGCCTGTCAAATCGCCCGGAATAAATGTTGCGAGGAGCGTTGGCGGGAGGCGAGCGGCTCTCTTCGTTGTCTGTCTCTCTCGCTGTGTGAAGATGTCCCCCCCCCCCCCCACAAGGTACGTCGATCATCAAGGAAGCATTGTACACTCGGAGAACACACACCGGGGTCACAGTCTTCTCAGCGCGCTTATCTAATCTCAGACTCTACCGTGAAGTCGCTATCGGGAGTTGTCTCCTTGGTGCAGTCTCATGGCCAACTTTGCCAAGGAAATTGGAACTTTTGGCAGAAATGTCCAAATTTCACGTTGGTGGGTTGGTTGATTTGTTAGCGTGTGGTGGATCAGTTTGGAGGAATTTTATATACGGATAAGCATACGATTGTACGTAGAACACTGCTCGTGTGTAAAGACACCTGGTAAATCATCATCATAGTTACCATCAGCAGCCATGGTCAATCCACTGCTGGGTGAAGGCCTCCTCTAACCTGCTGCCATCTCTCACGATTTAGTAATCCTCCTGGCACTTGCCAGCCGAGGCGCCGATTCAATCGCTCCATCTCTTCGGTTCCCTATGTCCTCTCAGACGTGTCCTATTCCTTTGGCTGTAACTCCGTCATTCGTCTTGATCATCCTGTAAAATGTGCACGTATGCGTTGTGTATTTCCCCCCCCCCCCCTAGAACTTATATAACCATCAGGGGTCATCTGGTTTGTGAGTTTCCCGAGCACACTTGGTTTTAATTATGTTTGTTTTATTGCGTGCAAATACTTTTTTATATATACACGTAAACACATAGGCACTCACAGATTATTGGGCCGCTTTTATCAAGCGGACGCTGCCACAGGTGAGAGTCGATCTCCCGGCATGGCACTTTAAACAATTTTGCGAGTTTCTTCAATGCCTCCGTGCCTCTCTCTCCACTCCACCCAGCAGTATAAAAGGCTGCACCTACGTCGGTCAGTGGATCCGTGTGCAGGTCGCGTATGGTGTGGCCTTAAGCGCGGGTATTCCCACGTCCGTCGAAGC